TTCATGCTGGAAGTGCTTTTACCTTCCTGCTATAATTACAAGCTTTGATTGTCAGGAGGCCCCTAACCAACCAGATGAATATAGCAAGCAGAGACAATAATAAAATGTCCAAATAAAATCTACTGAAGACTCTGCAACTTGGTAACGGTGAGCCAAGGTGGTCCACTGTGTAAACTACTCTTGTGCCTGTAGGGCCCTACATTGCAGGGGTTTGTGTGTGTTATTATATAGCATTGCTCTACAGCATATTACACTGCAGTCCCCTGAGTCTCTCTCAGCTTCCAGTCTGCCAGCACTACTGACAGACCATTACGGGGGGGTCTGGGCAGAGGGGCGTAGGATGTGAATTTATGTTACTACGGCAACCTTGCATCCTCTGAGGCTGACGCAAGCTTCGGGGCATGAAGACACAAATGAAACACAATCATGGAAATCTCAATGAAGACTCTTTACACACATACACAGACCCCTTTTCCACCATCAGACATTGGAGGATGATTTTGCTTTTTGGCATAATTTGTGGCAATACATCGCCCACTGTGGCTCCATTTGTGCTATTCAGTGACACAGATTCATTAGCAGTAATGGCCTCTGAACATGCACTTCTACAGTTCACTGGTCTAGACATAATCAGCCTGAAAAGCCTCTCCAACCATACTCATTTTAGACATGAATATGCTGTCAACTAAGCAGACAGCTTTGGTGGAATGAAAAAGAAATGAATAAGATGGATGTGTTTTCAAATGCGTGTACACCCTCTTGATTTTTCATACACACAGACACACTCACAGTCAAGCAGTCACAACTAAAGAAATGGTTTGGTGGAAATGAGTCTCCACCTCCTCTTTCAGGATTATTTTATCTGTAGGAGAAATATGAGTTTTCTAGTTTGTTTCTCATATTGATTTACCATGTTTGTAGAGATTTGAAGATTTGTTTTACCCACCAGCAACAGTGGCTGGTTACCAGACATGAGCTACATAAAACATGTTTCAACTAATGATTACCATTTTACAAACAAAAAAAATTAGCACTGTATGTAAGATAAACCATTCAAAGGAAAACCTGACACAGCATAAATGCTGCACATTGAACTAGCATGGCTGTAATCTATCTATATTTACAGGTACAGTAGATACAGCGTATCAGTATTAAGAAATTAATGGAATTATCACACAAATCCACTGAGAATACAGATTTAACGTCTTTGCCAACACTTCACTCGCTATAACTTCACTCAGGTTCAGCAAGAACGGCAATGCTATCACAACATAATTGTACAGTTAAATGCAAATTTAGTTGATTTAATTGAACATAATATTATTAATATTAATATAATATTTATTTAACACTACATATTTATACTACTACTATGAATAATAATAATAAAAGTAATAATATTAATAATCATAATAATAACTGGAATTTCTAAAGGAATGGTTGCACAGCTTAAATGGTTCCCACCACCTTAAATCTGCTACCCTAAATCCAGCTACCTTAAATACACTGCTACCTAAAATCTCCTGGTACCTTAAAAATGTGTGTGTGCATTTGTGTGGTGTGTTCAGTGTGTGTGTGGTGTTGAGTGTGTTTGTGGAGTGTGTGGTGTGTTCAGTGTGTGTTAGTGCATTTTTATGACACGAGAAAGGTGCCCAAACTTTTGCACTCCATTCATTCCTATGGGAAAAAATTCCATTGCTATACGGAAACCAAGCATCCAATCAAAAAGCTGTATATAAGCCCAAATCACACAAGGCTGTGTAGTTTGTTTAGGCTGTTTTTATTACTCTGCATTTATGACTGATGTATATAAATGCCACTCTTAGAGAAGAGCACCTAGTTGCCCCCAGGTAATTTGAGTTTGATCACTAAGACATTAAGACAATAATCTTCTAAAGTTCAATATTTTTATGCTTAAAAAATACAATTACTATGTTTTAATTGTATTTTAAGTTCAAAGTACCAGCATAAATGCTGCCTACAACTTTTGTGCACAAACTTTTCGACCAGGAAAGAGGCCATGTGTCAGCATACAACGCCTCTGACCTATGTAGGCATAGCTAGCCTCACCTAATGCAATGCAAATAGAAATGTCGAGCATGCACTTATGTATGCAACACATCCTAAATTATTCAACCTCATTTGATTCGTTTGCCAGATTCAACCAGGCACTGTGTGACCATTCCCGCTCTCAAGCAAGACCCTGATCAAAGCAACAGTGGTTTGCATTATGTGGGAGTTTTGTTGTAGCAGCAGTGGAAGAAAATTGGCCATGATGTTCAATCAATAGAGAACGACTCATTTAATTATAGCCTGCTTGTTTTTCTCCATAAGATCTTCAAGAACCTCTTGTTCCAACATGAATGCTATGAATATATATATATATTTTCTTTTCTTCTGCCCAAGGGAAATGATGCATGCTATTTTCTATGCAGAACACCAGATGGGGAACTGAGGCATAATGCACAGAGAGACACTATTTTAATAATATGCAAATCTATGTTTACTGTGGTTCATTAAAATTCATGATGCAGCAAAGTCGCAAGGGTCAGGACAGACAAAAACACTGGAGACAGGTTGTGCACCTGCACAGGCAGATTTTCACCAGTCACTTCCTCCACCTGGGGGTGTAAGTGCACTTGAAGGACTGGTTGTCTTTGGAATTCACAATAAGGTTTAGTGTAACAGATTCAATGGAAAGCTATGATGGCTGTAGTCACACAGTGTTTTGGGCCAAGTTTTGACTGCAGTTTCATCGTAGATGTGCTTCAAAGAGAAGGCCCAGAGCCCCATTCTCACCTGGCACTAATATATGACCTGGGTGATCCGATTATAAGTGGACAAGTGCAGGTATGAACAGGGTCCACTGTAGCTCAGAGATGCATTGTAATCTGATCACTCAAGTGGTCAGGGACGCTTAATGGAGTTATGGAATAATGAAAATTTTGGGGGAAGGCCATGTCTGAAACCCCTCCAATCCTTCCAATCTTCCTTCCTGTAAATTCCCATCTATACCTTCTGTTTCACATGATGAAGTTTTCACAATCCCAACTCCCACCACATCTCCCCATCTCCTCCCTGTTTCTCAGTCCTATGTCATTTCTACTACAGTTAAGGGGGGTTCTGGCCTTCTAGCTCCAAGCAGAAGCCTCCCAGAAGTCCTCAGAATTCCCTCCCCTCCCTCTATGAGTCTTACTTCATCCTACCACCATATGCTGAAGGCACCGTCCAAACTAGCAAATGACCAAATAACATTTGTAGAGTAAAGGCTAAAGCTTCTCAGCGCAATACCATTAAACAACTGCATTACTAACTGCGTCATCGCAGCAGAGACTGCTGCTTAGCTTCTTTCTTTGGCTTCACTTAGTGGGGCTTGTTTGTCTTGCTAACTGAAAATAGTTTGACATTAAATAAATGTATGTTTTTGTCTTTAAATAACATAAAATATTACTTGAAATGAAAGTATTTTAATTAATGAGAAATGTGTATTTTCATCCAAAAAGAATCTCAATCCCATGAAACACAATGAAATAAATTGTCAATTTTGTTCAATTTTGTTACATTGAATGGAAAAACTTTTTAAATGCTCCCATTTGTTTGTTTGTGTTAGAAACACAAACACACAATCTGAACATTTAATATGGCTTGTACATTTAAACAACCAAGGACTTGTGGCATATTTTGTCTGAAAACAAACAGCCTCACTGAAGACACATTTGAGATCCATGGAAATGCCAGATGGAACAGCTAATAAGTTTTGCTGTCCACTTGTGATCAGATCATTCAAGACTTGTGAAAAGGGCCCAAGTGGCTTGCTCCTCAACAAACACTGAGAATAAAGATGCTCTGAATAGACCTACTGTTAGAATTCTCCATTTTTGGCTAATTTGAGGGCAGGATTTTTTCTAGAATAAAGTTTGTCCTTGATCAAAGAAAAACATTTCCAATTAATTATAAGTGGGCTGCTACTCAGGTGATGATGAGCTGAATATCTATCTCTCTGTATCAGGAAAACCCAAAACTATTATTGTACATCTCTGCAAAACTTCAGTCTCAGTCTGTAGCCTCCCACATTCCGTACACAATCTATATATTCCTATAAGTACTGTGTACTGCTTGTGTTTTTGTATTTATTGTAAGTCTTTTGTATATATTGCTCTGTATTGTCTGCACTGTGTATATGTTTTGCGTTTGTGTTCCTGCGTTGCATCATGGTCCTGGAGGAATGTTGTTTTGTTTCAATGTCTATTTGTATACAGTTGAAATTACAAGAAATGCTCTTGAACTTGAACTCCTGAACTTGAGGTCGAGCCCCTGCTGACTGTATGCCAGCGCTGATCCACCCTCAGACCACCCAGATTATTGTCCTGCGTACAATGTCTAACTAGTTTTTAACGTCTCAAACATATTTTAACAAAGCCTTTTTTTTTTGGAAAATAAACTAAGACATTACAAACAATTGAGAGAAATATATATAATAGGCCTAATACAAAATGTTATAATATTGTTGAAAATGTTTTTATTACAGCTTTATTTATGACATTTAATAATATATAAAATTATTTACTAAACTAATTTACAAAGGATAGTGAAAGAAAGAAACGAGGGAAAAGTGGCCCTTAACCACCAGTGGGCCTCCCAGAAAACACTAAGCAAAAAGCCAGTGGGCCACCAGCTTTGCCTTCAGGGGGCCAATAGTGGGCCTCTGTCCTCTTATATCTGGGCTACTGATAAGGATGACAATTAATGGCCTCTGAATCAACTGCCACAAAGATAAGGATGAAATATAGTGATACTTAAATTAAACAGTTCATACATTCATATATATTTTTTTGATTAATGCTTATCATTGCGCTACCATATCGTCACGTAATTGCCAAAATACACCTTGCCCTCTTTAGCCATTTTCTGCCCACGAAACGAAACTGCTCATTCCAGAAGGTGAAGGTGCAATGCAGCTGATTGGACAAGGTGAGTTTGGAGAGGCGAGTGCAGTGGCCGGGGCTTTTGAAACTGGACACTCCCCCGAGTAATTCAGACTTCCTTGAGGGTTTACTGAGGTAAAGTAGGGTGTTTAACGCTCAAAACGCTGAGAAAAGAGAGAGATATTTCTGAACGCTTCAGGAATTCGTCAGAGCTCAAACTTTCTCCCGCCGTTTCAGCTTCCGAGACCAAACTGGAATAAACCACACAGACTACAGGTAAGACCACAGTCTGTGTCCTGAGGTTTTCTCCATGAAGTGCCTCAGTTGGTGATTTAACTTCGTATTTCTCTCATTTGTCTTAATACTAGTAGGATAATACTGGTTTGTGCGGGATAATTAGCCTATTGCTAATGTAAGAAAGCCTGTTGTTAATGTTGTGAACTTTGCTATGCGGGTCTTGGTTGCCATGGCGCAATGGCGGACTTTTTAAACCTTTTTAAAGCTTTTAAACTCCGTTTACCTCACCCTCCTCAACGGTTAAGTTTAGGATTTAAGCGTCAGCAGTTTGCTTTCCAGTGTGGGTGAATTGGACGAAATGTATAATCAGATATCAGTGGTTTAGACTGTATGATATTTTATCAGGTAGTCCATTCCTCATTATAATCAGTCCACTCAGCTCTTACAATGAAATAAGCTGTAACAGCATTTGCATTACGTTAAGTTAAGCGGTGGTCAGGTGAATTCAATTGTGGCAGCTTTGAGAAAGCAGGAGAAAATTCTCATCACGGCTATAACACTTAGCACACGGTCCTGTTTGGCTTGCAGGAAGACAGGTTAAATATAACCCGCGCCTATGATAATGAATAACGGCGCTGGTTTCGGCTGGAACGAACCTTCCCAACAAACATCCTGCTGCTGAAGGACAAACTCCTGAACACAGGGATCATTATTAGATCCCTCTCTGAAAGCACAGGTCTGGCCCAAATTGGTTAACATTACAATTTAACGTCAGATTCTGTGACAGGCCACAAGAATTCAGTTAGGTCCACTGGCTGCAGTTTTGCCACATTCTGGGAGTGAGTGGACTAAAAGACATCCTCATGCTCCTGTCCAGAGAGTGAAGACACTGTACACCACAAGAATAGCTGTGAGATGAACCTTACCTAAAATGTAGTCGATCAACCAATACACTTGGTGCCTGACGTTTGCTTTTTTTAGTTTTTTACTCGAGATGTGAGGCTTTAGTTCAAGAGGACTTCCACCGATTTAGACATAATTCAGTTGTTATGAACAAAAGTCATTTAAAGTATTTTGATGTGAAATGGGTCATTGTAGAGAAACGTACTGGCTCTAATTTATTTACAAAGGTGGTGACAGGAACCAGGGATAAATGTTAACTAACATTAACGTTGATAATGACAAAATAGTAGTAAGCATGAAAACAAGTTTTCTCTAGGGAATATTTTGCCATACAGTGCTCTGTAGGTACATTTTCGCCATAAATGAATTTTTAAAAATACTGTGGTGTCGGCGTAGAAGAAGACGCAGAAGCAAATACTCTTTTATTGAACAGGCCCTTCAACAGGCAGCAAGAAATGCCCAGCCCAGTGCTACCGAATAGCAGCAATAATAGCTGGGGAAGGTCACCAATAGCCATACCACTTCACTTCGTGGTAAACACTAAACCCACACTAACTAACCCACAGCCCAACACCATAAAACCCCCTCAACACATAGACACGTCTTAAACTAGAAAACAACAACATTAAGAAGAACCACAACTGCAACAAAGGTCCTTTTAATGGAGGAATTAGGATGGATGCCACAATATGTTTTAGGCTGAAAGCTTTTCAAAACTTGTGAAACGGTATCTCAGGCATCAGACAGCATATTTGAACTATTTCATATAATAGCTTTCTGTGACAGAGCTTTTAGCATCATTAAAGGCTTTAGTTGTTTGGTTCCTATCACCACCACTCTGAACAATTCCAACTTGAGAAGTTTCTCTACAATAGCACATTTGACATCAAACCACTGTAAACCATAAATGACTTTGTTCACATGTTAACGATATAATTCTGTCGACATTTTGAAACATCTGTGGAAATCCTCATTGTAATGGACACCTCCCGATTGTAATGGACTAGCTATCAGTTTGCATGAAAGCTACATACCTAAATCAAACAATGTTAAATTGTTAGGTAACCTCAGAGTTTGCTAATGTGGTTTCCGTCATTGAGTGATAAACTGTTATTTAACATAGAAAACTTTTTAACCTTTGTTTTTTGGCCTGAACCATGGTTTTAATCTTTCCATATTTTGAAACTTTGTACCAATTAAAATCCAGAGCAGCGCTGTAGCTTGAGGTGAACAGTGTCTAATCTCATATGCAGTTACATTAGTCCCTTTGCATGCTCATTTCATATCAGTTCTCTAAGTGCATGTGGAGCTGCACACACATATCTACCCACGCACGTTCCCAATGTAAGGAATCATGCTGGCGTAGGGACAGATGTTCTCCACTCTCTCTCCTTCTTCATGCCACACTCCAGTAACCACAGCAGAGAGAACAGCTCTAAGCAGCTAGATTGCACCTGGGGCAGTCGAGCTTCTCTTTAAAGACCCCTGCTTGCAGGAGCATAGGGGGACGAGGAGAAGGCATGGAGGGATGGGCACTGAGCGGGGGGGAGTCCATATGGACCAAAATCTGTCTCCTGGTTGAGTTGTCACAGTTTTGTTAATGCTCAAGGTATGGATATTTCAGGGCCACAACAGTGAGGCGAACAAAATGGGCCGCTGTGTGAGAATGTGAGTGCGTATAAATGTGTGCTTCACTTGAGTGGGCAGCTGTAAGAGACGGGGCTACTGCAGGCTTCAACTCCGCTAATGTTAGATGTGTGTTAGCTCTACTGCCCTACTTTTCTCAAGGCTTCCCTATTCAGCAGGCTAAGGAAGCACTACAGCACTTTCATTTGGCATGCAGCAACAGGACATATCTAGGCTTTTACATTCACGCCTACAATATCAAGTTATGGCTTAGAGAGTGCATCAACTGGTGTTGCTTGGAAATGCTTTTGTTAAGGAATTAAAGGAAATTATTACATGTACACGTGACTTGGACATACACCACTGTTCAATAGTGTATAACTGTTCACTCTCCAGTCCATAGAGTCCAAAAATATAAACAGAGCTGCAAAAAACAGCCCAATTTTAGTTGACTGTGTCTGTGATGTCATGGAAACTAGCACCGTTACATATTTCAACCTATTCAGCGTACAGCAGTTTAGTGCAGTCCATCTAATGAAGTAATATGGAGTGTTTCAGCCTGGGCTGCTTTTTGATTGAGACACAAAACAGGGCAGCCACTCAGGACAGATTTTATTTACATATACACATACAAGTTTTAAAGGCACAGTATCAAAAACTACCTGTTTAATACTAAGGGATAAAGAGAAGTTGGAAAATATTAATGTAAAAATGAGTTTTGGCACATTTAAGCCACACATGTCAAAAGTGGACATCAGCCTTTATAGATATTAATTTTATTTAAAGTCCATTCTCAGTGTTATATAGCTTTCTTGATTTTTAGGAAATCGGCTTCAGCTCCATTCATTATCAAAAAAGTATATTTATTTTCAGGTTTTTACAAATTGTATGTAAAATGAAAGTATTAGCGCCATATTATAATGAATTTACATATTTATGCATGTATGTATCTGCAACAAAATTATTATTACAACTATAATAGTAATAACAATAATTTTCACACCTTTTGTTTTTAAGACTGTTTGAAGAAAATGGAAATGAGAATTAAGGATTAATTCTCCAACCTTTTCTCCCAAATGAGCTCAAATAAGTTTGAAGCATAAATTCATTTGCTCCTGTTCACTGCTGCTGTCAGGGAGGACAGATGTGGTTGGATGATGTGGAAAGAGATGGAACCCCAGGGCGTTTAGGATTGTTTTGTATACATCATGATAGAAATCGCAGGAGATGCTTGTGAGTCATCATGCCTTAGCTAAGCTCGTTTCTGTACAAAAATGGCACGACAGCAGCTCTGAAGTTCAGTTGCAGTACAGATTAAGGCCCCAGTCAGGATTTTCTAAAGCTGTGCTTGTTTATATCTAATGTTTTGCCATTGATGCTTGAGGATTATTAGTTGTTTAATTTCTAAATACTTTTTACCTCATTATAGGGTAAAGTAGTGATGGTTGAATGTCTTGTGTACAAAAATGTAAATATTAACAAACCACTGAGAGATTTTTAATGTTCATGTGATCCTGAATGTTGCTTCTTGCAGCAGTGACTGGTCTATGACTTTTAAGACTGAAATTGTCCTAAATTCTCTAACCATGTTTTAGAAAATTCTGTGAAATGCTTGATCGTAGATAAAAGAAGTCAAGTCTGTGTAGAGCTGGGCTTATATCAGCTCTTCATCAGGCTATAACACAAAAGGTTAGAAATCTGGAAATGGCTGATTGGAAAGGGCTAGCTGACAGTATGTCAACTAATTTCAGCTTGACAGAATGACTCATGGCTGACTTTAACACCACAGCTATGATCATGTTCTTGTGAAGGGTCAGGGCTAGTGTGATTATAAACTAAACAAAATGGCCTGCACTAGCAGTGTCATAGCTGTGCTTTTAGCTTTTTCATTATTTATAGGTCTCTGCTGTACTGCACAGACCGATTACTTTCAGATGAGGGGAGCCGCTTCTGAAAAGAGACCAGGCACAGCAAGATGGCTTCTATAACTATAAATATTGTTTTCCAGAATGAAACACTGAAGTGGGTAGCTGACGTGACTAGCCATTGCTATTATCTCTCAATGCCATATCCGTATGGGTTTTGTTTAACTTGTAACTTCTCAAATAGACAGTAAAAAGGTATTACGAGATACAAACAGGCTGTCTGATGGTGGTTTGAACACTCATCACTGCAGCCTATATAAAAAAAAATGTTGGTTTTCATGCAGCGGGAAACACAGTGGTTTATTTTTCTTGTTTTTGCTTACCTGGGAAAATCTGCTTTTAGTTTTGGTGCACCAGTAAACTAGAATACATTACAAGAAACTCTAAAGCTTGCTCGCTCGTGTCACTTGACCATTTCAAATTTGAAATCTCTAATCACCTCCACTCAACCTGTGACTGTTTTATTTGATCTTAGTTCTTTTACTGTTCCATGAAATTTATCATTTTGTTGAATAAATTTGTCTCATAGCTGGTTCTTTCTATCCACTGATTTATTTTCATGACATTTTATTGCTATCTCCATTT